GTAGTAGTAGTAGTAGGAGGTGGTGGGTGGCGGTGGTGGGGGTGGAGTCGCCGCAACGGTGGACATAGTGGAGGAGGCGGTGGTGATGGATGTGATGGAAAATACTACTCCAATGGACCCTGCTATGGAGACTGCGGTGGTGAGTGCCGCGGGCCCGTGTCTGCGCATGAAATTCGTGCGTTGCAGTACTCCCTTAGCTTGGTTGCGCCTCGTTCCGCGCCTTGAAGACTCGGCGACGCTGGCCAGGATTGAGTCCAGCTTTGTCCTCAATCTGAAGTTGCAAGTTCCAACATCCATCGCCAGCATGCTCTTCACAGCGGCGGGCTCGTGGAGGCGTGTCAAGGCGGAGCCCTCGACGCTGGATAGGCCGATGAGATGCGCCTTGTTGGTTGGCTTTTTTGCTGAACTCAAAAAACGGATGGAGGCGGTGGTGACCCAGCCGGAGAAACTTCAGCAGCTGCAGGAGTGGACCGCAAGTGATTTGGCACCTCATGAAGCGGGATCTGGCTCTGCAGAAGCAGACTGTGCACACCGCCAAAGCACCCCTGAGTCAGACAGCAGAGGTGCTGGAGATGATGCATCCTACGGCTCGTTCCTCGCAAGCGTCATTGCTCGATTCCATCCGACGTGCAAGCTGACGCAAGAGATGCAGGGATGCGGGGCTGCCCGCAACGCCTTTGCTATTGCTTGGTGACTCGGTGGTGCATCTTCTTGCTGCTACGCTAGAGCAGGATCGGCAGAGTCGCTCAGCACTGGCGAGCTCCAACGGTGTCAAGAGCTGTGAATGGATCCCAACTTTTGTGAACCATATGATGAGCTAGGTCGCGGATTATTTCGGTTCTTAGTCCAGTAAGCCAGGCGATGGTGGACTTTTACGGGGTTGCGTTGAAAAGCACAGACACTTTGTGGCAGTGCAGAGCATTCCTTTGTCATTACAGGAAGCGCAGGTCACGGCCATGTCTTCATCAGTCTCAGCTGTGGTTGTGTGACGTGGCGACAGCTTGATCGTATCATGCAACTCCTTCCTGCTGACGAGAAGTTGCGCTGGACCCAGGATACAGGCCATGACGACAATGAGAGTCCAAAACTTTTCTGTCGGGGGCTTGGGCTCGTGGCCCGCGTGGAGGGCTGACTCGCCATTTCAGAGAATATCCTGCAACCAGTCGTCTTCTTGCTGCCATCATTTGTGCCATTGATCTCGAACTTCGTTTCAGCTCATGTGAATTGGCCAGAAACACCACTGCCAAACCGCACCGGGACTCTCACAATCTGCCGAACTCGATGAACCTTGTGGTTCCATGATCAAGGGTTGAGGGCAGTGGCCTATGGGTGCAGCATTATCGATTTGGACACGAGCATGCACGCCTCTGAGATTTCGACCGCACGATCTGCGTGCTACTCGTCCTGATTTCCCACTCAGGTCCCACTGATGGCACGCAGAGGCTGTTGCAGCTACTAGTCGGATTATGTGGTGGAGATCAGACCCGAAAAACCCCTGATGCAGGTATGCTTTGCAGTGGCTCTGACTTTTCAACTGTCAACTTTGCGGCTTGTGTGCTGACTCATTGTACAGCTTGAGGGAGTTTCTTGTTCCATATTCAAAGTACAGGTCGCTATCGCGGCATCGGACATAGTTGCAGGGTGCACTATGGTGCATGTACAAATAGCATTTGCATCGCACACATGTCCAGCTTACAGAAGTGATTTTGTCGACGCATGCTTTTATTCTGCTCTTCCGAATGCATGGTGACTGAAGTCTTTATGCATATTTTCGCATGCTTTTGGAAGAACACAGGAGTGCTGTCAGCCTGTGACATCGAGGGATGTGGCAGGTCCTTCTCAGTAACCTGGTGTCGTGATTTGTAGATTTCGTCTGGGGTTCGGCTTGCAAGCCTGCAGTGGTGGCTGCAGAGCAAGGGCAAACGCTGTGGGCAAAAGGAGGTGCCCTTGTTCACTTTCTTCGGCCTGGTAGAGGCGGTGGGAACGGCTGCTTGCGCCACATGTAAGTCAATAACTTCTGTGCGCATCCATGTCACCCACCTCCCCTTTTGGAAAAACATCTGGACATCAGTGTTCCATTGGTTTCCAACAATCACAACTTTTTGTTCGCGCCTTTTTGCATCTCATTCTGTCTAGTGGGATACAGCTTGTTTGCCCGGCCAAAACAAGCTGCTGCCCAATGTCTGGGGTGTAGATGGTGTAGATGCTGAGTCTGGGGACATCATGTCTGTAAGGTGGCTGGGGGCGTTGTAGTCGAAGCTGTAATCATCAGGAGAAATGGTGAAGCCAAGGACAGGATTGTTCGCACAGTGCAACAACGATGTCTTCTTGGGCCATCAGTATGTCGCCAACCAAACGATAGTTCTGTTGTGTGACGAACTAGCAAATGTGCGGTAGGTGCTCAAGGTGAGTATGTCTGCGTGGTTTCGAGGTGTGCGAACGCATTCGGTGGACTCGCATGGCAGCCCACCTCGATCAGCATCAAGCACTGGGGTTCTACTGCCGGTCACGCCGGGAGTCGGCCAAGACCCCAGGCGGCAACCCGAGGAGCGATGTGGCGCTGGGATGCGACAGCTGGGAGCCCAAACAGTAGCCCAAACCGTGCCAGATCCGGCAACGATGGCGGAAGGCCTCCATTGTGCAGGCACAGCAGGTGCCCGGTGTCGTGCCGTTCGCAACGCGCTCAAGAGACAGGCACATCGAGGTTCATGTCCGCAAACCAGACGTGGCGGGCGACCCGGGCACCTTTGCGAGGAGTCCCGCAGTCTTCTTCCCTGTTTTGTTTCGCAACCGCGCGAAGAAGATTCAGTGCGGTCCCTGTGCAGTCTGCCTCCTAACTTCTGCCCGCTGTAAGCAGGTCTTGTGGGTTGCCTTTGCCGAAGGTAGTAAAGTGTGTGGTCAAACAGTCTCCTGCTACGGGTTATAAGTATCGTTACCCTAATTATAACCATACTCATAGCTACCCATGAACCTCCAAGTACTGCAAACCTCGAATCTTATATCCGAAAGGCCACGAAGCTATAACATCCTGTATTATAGGCCCTTATACCCCTCAGCCCTAAATCTGTGACACTGATACTGCTATAATACATTTGTTGGCCCAAATTACTCTGAAGGGCAATTTGGGCCCTGCCATTTTGCGCGGCTTCTACCAGAATCCCGCCCGCGAAACCGTCCTCGCTAAGAAGGATATTGAGCAAGAAGACGCATATTTGGACGACTTGTACGCCATGAATGATTCGGAGGAGGGGGAGCAAGAGCAGGAGCAGGTCGCGACTGACGACGTGAGAGCCGTGCCGGACGCAAATCAGGATGCGTGGAACCTGTGTTTGTGACACGGGGCAATGGCAAGCGTGGTCCAGAGACCCAAGACCAGGCTCAACCGACAGGCTCTGCGCGACACAGATCAGACGGACCGCGACAGATCAAACTCTTGCAGTCGATTGCCCAACTTCACGCTTCCACAAGTCTGTTGATAACCGAGGCCGCCTTTGGCAACCTGGTCTTGGATATTCTTGGATGTACTAAAGGAGCAATGGGCCTTGCGGGACGTGGAGCAGTTGAAGATATCTACCGGCGCGCTGGAAGCTTTACAGCACTTGGCAGAGGCTTTGGTGACCGACTTCTTCAGAGATGCGAACCTTTGCTCGCAACACGCGTGCAGAGTCACAATCATGCCAACAAACCTCGTGCTGCTGAGGCGCTTGGGGCACTCCGTGCAGTGAAAATGGAATCAGTCGAGAGACCTCAATGCTTGAGCCCCACAGTCACGGAGATTTTAGGGTATTCCCAATCAATGGCATCAGGGCCCCTAAACCCCCGAATCCTTGAGATCCGCGCTGGCAGTATGCATTTCCCCACGGCTTCAAGACTGAACAACCCGAATGGTTATGTAACGGTTGCATCATGGTATACTTAAACTCCCAAATCCCAAATGCTAAGATTCGAGCCCCTATGTACGTAACGCCAAACCCTGAGGTGAGGGCTTAGGGCTTTGTAGGTTGAGGGCTTAGGGCTTTTAGGGTGCAGTTTCTTGAGCTCCTTAAAAAGGCTTCTTCTTCGGGTTGTCAAGAAACTTGCTAGGGTTTGGGGTGTCGGGCCGTGTAGGATGCAAGGAACATGTTTAAGGATGTTCAGGAACCCTAAGCCCTAAAACCTAACCCGCAACCCTAAACCCTAAACCAGGGATGTTCAGTATCCGGCTTATAGTTTTGGGCTGTTGAGACACCAAACAGACTTCGAAAAACTTTAAAAAGCCGAAAACCGTTCGGACCGAGCCAGAAACTGCGAAACTCGTAAACCCTGAACGGAAAGTCTGCGAAGCTGAGTCCTAAACCACAAGCCTCCTAGAATTGCGCCTGGAGTGGCAGTCTTCAAATCCCATCCGCGATGTGTTTACCTGCGTTTCCCCCAAACCTCCAAGCTTAAAAGCCGACTGAATCCTGCAGTCGGACGGCCCAAGCTTTACGGTAGCCTAGAAACTTCCCGAGCCAGTCTTGAAGCAGCAGATGCCCAAACCGCAGCAGGCTGCTGGTCGAAGAAGACTTTGCCCCGGCGGAAGAGGTGGCAACCTCGAGCTGGTTTTGCCTTAAGTCAAGGGGTAACGCTTCGGGTTTGGAGGGTCCCAAGCCCGAGACCCTGAGCTATAGACGGACCCAGACATCCGGAAGCCCAATCTCGGCTTTTTGGGAAGGCCGTTAGGGTTGAGGATAAGGCAGTTTGGGGTTTAGGGTTAGGATTTAGGGTAGGAGGTCTTTGTAGGTTTTGGGGACGTCTTAAACGAGGCCTTTACAAGGGAGTCTAGACCTGCCTCATGGATGTTTTCGGGCTTTC